GAAGTGATAGTTTCACTGCTGAATTTTTTTAATTTTTTGGACAGATTTGAAACAATTTACAAAACTTGCAATAAATGATATATTTCAGAAAAGAACTTTCTATTTCTCAAAGACTAGGGGTAATTACATGTTTACCAAAAGGTGATAAGCAAGAGAATGTCTGAAAAATTGGCGGCCTATTACACTTTTAAATGGTTTTTTTTATAGTCTTTCATCAGGCCGTTTAAGTTTTAGAATAAGATCCACTCAGGACAATTTTATATCAAATACTCAATCTTGGATATTTGCAGACATATAGGAGAAAATACCAGATTTCTCTATGATCTTATGGCATACACTGAATCCAGAAACAAACCGGGATTGCCTGTATTAATGGATTTAGAAAAGGCTTTTGATTAATATCCTGATCCTTTGTGTTTAAAGTATTCGAATGTTTGGGGGTTTAATAAAAACATTATTGAATGGGTAAAAATTTTAAATATAAAATTGTGTGCATCTAGTCAACAATGCGGATTTTTATCTGAACAGTTTGATATCCAAAGAGGATGTCAAGGACATCTTGTGGCACAATATCTGATTCTTCTTTGTACAGATATTCTTGCAGTTATGATTAAACAAAACCAAAACATTAAAAGGATTGTGAATAATAAGAGAGAACATAAAATATTCCAGATTTGCAGATGATATCCGGTTGGCCCTTGATGGTTCACTATTTTCAGCATTAGTGCCAAGATTCAATTGATTTCTTTTAAAAGTTTTCAGGACTTAAAATTAACAGCTCAAAAATTAATATTGTTTGGATGAGTTTTGAAAGCTTCTTTTCATCTTTCTCATTGGAAACTTAATTGGCGTTGCATAACTTTTAGTTTACTTGAAATTAATTTTTCAGTATAACTAGATAAAAATTATTGCCGAATGATATAAACTATAATGAATGACTATCAGAATGTTTAGAATCTGATATTTGTGTCCAAGATGTCTTTAAGGTCTGTTTTAGAACAACTTTGGATATTCCGAGCAATGGTTACAATATAGAATCCTTCCAGTGAATCACTATTTGAAGAAAATAAATGTTTTATCGAATTACCACTGTACTTTTTGTAAAATGCAGATAGAAACAATACATGCAACACGTATTTTTATATTGCACAAAAATCTCTTCATTGTGGTGTTTTCTTAGTATGCACAAATTTACATAAAAATGAATGAAAATGAATAAATGCATTGTTCATTCATAGAAAGTCGTCGTTATATCCAAATGCTGAATTGAAGGCCATACTAGTAACAGACTTCTTTTCAGGTAGAGTTTTTTAAAGCTTCTGCTTCATAAGTTTTGTGTTATAGGGTGATATTAATTAGATATTAAAAATGATTGGCTACTCAGCTTCAGCGAACTGTAAAACACACACAAAGTTATAAAGTTGGTAAAATGTATTAACTGGTATTTATTTTCATATAAAGGGTCCTGAAATGTCACAATTTCGAATACATACAAAGGTGTTTGGTCATCTTACAAATTACAAGATTTTTATTCAATGAAAAAGGTGAAGATAACGAACAGTGATCGATCAAAAAAACCTACAAACAATACAAATCTGTGAACAGAGTATAAAACATGGACCTCTGGAAATTCCAAAGGTGGAATCAGGTGCCAAGTAGAAGTAAGCATCTACTGTGGACCGGTCATATCCGCCGTGACTGAGCCCTACGTATTGATCAGGAAGACGGAATTTAGTATAAAAAGAAAGGTCTAACCATTGGAATGAAATATGTCAGTGTCAAAATACGACCCAGTGACAGGTTATATTTGCTAACGAGGTCATTATAACGAACAAAGAATTCATGAAATGCTGAATTTAAAAGAAATTGTTGAAATCCCTGTAACATCAACTTATCTGTCAGTGTATTGCATAACCCTTAAGTATCGAGTAAGCTGGAAAACATAAACACTATATGCAAGTTATAGCGGAATATTACTTCATAAATAAGGAACAGCTGAAGTCATCTCGTTTGTCATAAATTTTGTTGTAAGTTGGTCCTTATCGTCTATAGTCAGTAAAACATCAAACTATGAAACAGATGAGGTAGAATAAACGGTGAGTGTGTATGGTTTTCAAATAAATTCTATGAATAGCTGCACCACAAGGTTCAGTTATAATTAAGAAATAAACAACAATGTTAAAAAGTTCTCTAGGAAATGAACTTGGTTGGTCACGTGATCAAATCCTGTGAAGCCCGAAGGGCTTCTCAGAAGATTTGATCACATACCAACCAAGTTCATTTCCCAGTGAACTTTTTAACATTGTTGTTTATTACTTTTATTTACATTTGAGAAGAATATTCTGAAAAGAACTGCATTTATTACACGAACGGCCCGCCGTATTGCTATGTTGTGACGCGCAATGACCTAGAAGCTGTTTGGTCTTGAGAGTTCGCCTCGCTCCAACATTTGAATACATACATTGATGTTCAGCAGTCCAGTTCAGGAAATATCTGTTCATAATGAAAAAACCATGATCGCTACTGAGAATAATCTTACTTTTATTGTATGAGTTCTTAATATATGAAGTCAAAAGCGGTGGTATCGTCTTCAGTTTACATACCTTCAAAGGAATTTCGGGTTAAAAAGGTAAGCGTGATTTTAAGCTAATTAAAAACATTCTTCACACCGAAGAAAGAACTAATGATCATTTGTTGAACGAAAATAAACATATATTTTTCAATAATTTTATCTTTTTCATCGCTTTAACGGCTTAGAAGTTCCGAAACCAGTGTCACCATGACAGAAATGTGTAGACAAGATATCATCTCGCTGTGTGATTCGGTCACGCCATGACCTCTGACCCCCTAATAAGTTCATACAGAATTGAACATTTTCTCTTCAATAGGTTCATCTAAGAAAAATATTTGCAAATGTAAATAATCTGGGTTAAATGGTCTAAAAACATATACCTGATCAAAAGGAACGAAAATGAAACGGGGGCGAAAATAAATCGGAAGCGAAAATTTTCCCTATTCAGTATCAAGATATAATTTTTATTTATTCATATTTTAATATGAAAAACTAAATTTTATAAATTCGTGTACAGTATTCAGAATATAGCTATGACACAGTGTACAATTTGTTTTTAGCTGTGAAAGAATCATCTTTGAAAATGTGTACACTATATTAAAAAAATGGCTTTTTATTTACTGTAAAAGGTGGAGAAAACAGTGATCAATCTTAAAAATCCAGTTAACAAAGCGAGTCGTAAACAGGACAAAACACAAACCCTGGAAACACCAGAGGTGGGATCAGGTGCCTAAGAGGAGTAAGAATCCCCTGTCGGCCGGTCGCACCTATGTATTGATCAGATAGACTGAATACTCCGTAATCAAATTTCGCCTAAAAGCAATGACCTAAGAAATGATATGAAACATGTCAGACAAAATACGACCCAACGATAGGTTGTATTTACAAATATCTAATCGTCTTATGTTTATAATGTCTAATGTTCTTTACCTCCTTTTTTTTCAAATACAGCTGCACAAGCTTTAACGTGTGACTTTTCCAAATATTCAAAAATCATGCTATATTTTGACATATTCATTTAGACATTTTATCGATGTATCAGATTAGATATGGAGACATATTTATAAACTATTAAATCAACATGAAATTCTTCTCAAATAAAAAAAGCATTCAGCTGATACTATTGTACCGTAATATTTTGCATAATGTTAACATAAACTGAAAAACATCATTTTGCTGATATGACAAACATAAAAATGTCAAATATGTCACCATAATCCGTTTGATATATCTATAAAATGTACCTATTATTACGACAAGGGAAGATCAATTCTGTCATTATCTCAGGATGTTGATGGCAGCTTAAAGCCACCATATAATGAGGTATGGAGACTATTTTGAAATATCGATGTATTTTATTTTGGACTTGGTAATTAATTAATGTCAAAAACACCTTTTTTCAGGACAGAAGATGGTGGCATACGTATAAATCCTAATCTTACATCTAATTTCTTTATTTGTCTCAGATTTTATGAGAAAGGAACAAGAAACTCTAACTATGGTAATTAATGCAGTAAAACGTGCTACATTTTGTTCTATTAATAAATGATGGTCTTAGTATACCAATTAGAAAGTCATAAACCCAACGATACACATGAAGATCCCTTGATCGCTCACATGACTTCAAAGGAAGATTGCAATCTGTGTTGGATACCTTGTTAAAGGTACTTTAATCTGTTTTTAAAGTTTGAAATAGCTAAAAAAAAAAGCATTCCTCTATGCATATTTGAAGTTGTATACTTAAGAATACTTTGAATACTTAAGAAATAAATGTGTGGAATGGTGAACAATGATACCATTTTTAATACAGAGTACTAGTATTTATTTCTAATAAATTTAGAATACCACATATTATAAATACACGTCATTGCATATATCTTTTAACAAGTAACTATAATGTTTAAATGTAGAATTTTGTCTGTTTTAGCATTAAATCCTTTAGAATGCAAAGTCTTCAGTATTCAGGTTTTTGTTTTTTGTGTTAATGATTTGAAATATTGACAAGTAACAGATTTTGTGATAAATTCGTGATGACTTTTAACAATTTTAAGAGCTTATATACTTTGCATAGTTATTGTTATTTTTATATTGATGCCAACTGTAAAAACGTGTTACAATAATGACATTAAAAAGTTATATGCCAGTAACCTTACCTATATTTCGATACAGAAAAAATACCTTGGCAAACAATTGTATTTTTGTAAAGAACCAAAATTATGGATATTCTAAAAATTACAAATTTTAAATCTAGGATCACAGGAGGAAAAGGGAAAATACAAAAAGTAAATAAAGATGTATACTTTAGAGACTTAAAACACTCTAGCCCTATATTGAAGCAAACCAATGAGTAAAAGAACTAAAGATAAGAAAACGATTTTTTACCTGAGAAGTACAATAATATTATCAAAATTAATACAGATTTACTTACCGTAGATAAGGGCAGTAGACAAAGCTACGAGACGTAAAACACATGATATTGCAGAGATAATGATAACTAAATTGGTGATTTTCTTCAGAACAGGATCACCAAAAGAGGAATAAACTTTCAGAACTTTGGCTGTTCCCACAATAACGATCATAAAGCAAAAAATAATACCAAGTAATTTCACGATTTCAGGAGTTTCCATTGCCTTGGCCGTTCGCCTTCTACACTAACACAAAACTCTGCAACTGTTTATAAAATTCGTAGACATCAATCGATTAGTACGGCTTATACAAGTGTTCAGACGCTGTGTACCAGCGTGTTATTTTTAAACATAAACCTGGCTTTTGAAACTCCAAAGAGTCTGCTTTTTTCTATGCACCTTTTAAAATAAGCATAGCAAAAATATACACATATATTTTAAAACTAAATGTGATTCATATGTTAGTTTAATAGCATCTTTTAAATGTAGTTTTGCTGATTAGGGTCTGGATTTTCTTTACATTCCAGTGAACCAATAACTTAACCATAAAATCGTTCGTTGGAACCTGTTTTGCTTTATGAAAATCGCTAAAATTCTTCTAGGTATGTTTAGTTTGTTTTTCCATAGTAAACCAATAATACTTACTTTCCTGATAATCCGGCCCAATAATAATGAAATATTTATACCTCAGTATGAATCTTCTATACTGGGCTGAAATTGATGATAACTTAAACTGTTTTATAAGTTTGTATCATAGGAATATTTTTATTTCTAAAAATGTCACTTAACTGCTCATAAGCATGAATGCTTCCGTGTTTGAAATTTCTACTCAAGGATGTCCGTCCCTCAGCCAATAACGATAACTATAGACATTTTAATTTATTTGAATATCTCAGAATGTAGCTTGAAATTTAATTTTGTTCGGGCGACAAATTATTCATTTCATGCTTCTAAATATGATGTTAGTTTAAAGTTTTTGAAACTGTCTTGTACTTGTAAATAGTAATAAATGCTCCCTATAAAAGGACTAAATGTTGACATTGTTAGTGAAATCAAATGTCCTTTAAAACCTAAATAGCAACGCTTATTACTATAAAATTAAATTGGAAGTAGTAGATCTTTCAAGTTTTTTTGTTTGTTTGATGTTGAACGTCCCTCTCGAAAATTTTTCACTCACATGGAGACGCCCCACTTGCTGGTCGAGAGCTGCAAATTTATACCTATACTCGGCACTTAGGGCCATTAAGCATTGAGGGATCTTTTTCGTGCCAACACCTACTGCTACAAAGGACCTCGGTTTACACGGTCTCATCTGAAAGACCGGTCTGCACGTCCCGCAGTGGATTCGAACCTGCGACGTAATAATCAGCTCCTTACCCCGCTACTCTAGAACAGACGTTCTAACCACTGCGCCACGCAGGCGACTGTAAGAAAAGTAGTACACCACATAAACATAAAAACAAGCAGTTTGCAATATTGATACCCTTTATTTTGTATCTGGAATATATATTTGTTGATCAATTTTCAACTAGAGAAAATGTATAATTACTATTATATTTCCTTAAAACATATTTGAAATTTTGAATTTTTCCCTCTTTAATTTGATTAACACTATTGATGAATTTTAATAAATTTTGTGAATTCAGTGACATTTCAGTAACTAAATTGCTGGTTTTCAGAACAAGAGGGGCGTAAAATCCCAAGTCTAAGCCATTTCATTATCCAAGTCCCAGGAAACCAATTTAGCAGAGTTTATATGATTCAAAAATTGACTTTTAGAATATTTATCAAAATTTATTAAGAGCATCAACATAAACATGGAAACGTTTTAGTGATATTCTGATTGACAAAAGTACAATGAACTTGTTCTTTGACCTTGAGCATTTTTTTTTGGGTAAATTTTCCGTTGCTCAAATTTTAATTGAATACTTCTTTCTTAAATTAAATAGTTTCCTGAGGCCAAAGTGTAACTGATTTGAATAATTAGAAGTCTGATCCAAATATATTATTAACATTTTATGATAAGTAATTAACTAATTATATACATGTATTACTTAGTGCCTAATCTTAGTTAATCATCGCTAACATGAGTCGCAGCAAAAAGATGTGTGCTGTAAAAGATGAAAAATCGGAGATACTTCTTGTTACCAACAGCAGTTGGAGATAAAGGGGTTAATAGAGGGGGCGTCATCCTAATCATTTGGCAGGAAACCAAATTAAGATGCCAGTAAGGAAATAAAGCCTTGCTAAAGGCACAATGAATTCTGAATGAGATTGGACATTTTTAAGAGCGGAAAACTTTTCTAACATAAAGATAAAAATAATTTTTTCGTTCCTTATAGGCATGAATGGATTTGCAAGTCATATACATCTACGTTTTAAATATCATCGAAAATAGACAAATGTAATATTTAACCTATTAATTTTGATGTAATAAAAAATGTAAATAGTAAAAATTTTTGAAAAACAAATATACTGCAGTATATCATTATTTTATAAGGAATAAAAAACATTTTAAAAAATGAAAGTATTTGATGCTGAAAAAACCGAGTGTACCTTTAAATGTATGAATGCATTGGTTACCCAAGAGCATGCTCTACGTATGAACAATTTCTAAAACGAGGTAAGTAATTGACAAACAAGTTGGTGAAACAAGAATATCAGCAGTCTCGTTTAAAGTCGTCATTTTGTAAGTTCTATGGTCGATACAATGACCTTGTCAGCAAATACAATTTATCATTTAGTCAAATATAATGCCGACTGACGTTTTTCATACTAATTGTCTGGCCATTATTTACAAATTGAATTGTCGACGGATTTTTCCGTTATTTCCTGATCATGGAAAGGAGCACACAGCGTGTGTGACCGGTCGGCAGGAGATGCTCAATCCTCCATGGCACCTGATCCCACTTCTGATGTTTTATACGTCCGTGTTTACGCTGCACCAAAATTTGTATTGTTTAATGGACTTTTGAGCATGATTACTGTTCGTTATCTCCATATATTTCATTGTATTAAAATTAAAACGATTATTATGTAAAAAGCCAATTTGATTGTCATTTTTGTAGGTCACAATATAAATGTGTCTTATACTTATTACTTGTATTTGGCATTTAGTTACGAAAAAATGACAAAAAGCTATTTTCGTGATAGTTTCAAGAGAGAGTTGGGCACCGAGTATAAAAAATTTCAGACATCAGTCGTGCATATTGGTTTGGCCATGGTTGTATGTCACTAAATGGTTTTCGGGTCATAACTCAGTACTTGTACAGTGTATATGATGTGCTTGGTTATGCAACTGGATTTTGCTTATTTTGCTTCATATACTGTTCGTGAGCTATATTTTTAGGGGAGTCGTGCATTCAGAGATGCTTACCGCCAGTCATACACGTACTTCGAAAGCGTTGTACACAGATAACATAGCACATCAGATAAGTTTCACCTAAGCTGTATCTTTACATATATTCATTGCATATAGCAATAAGAGACAAATTGGCCACAACGCACACCCAGTAATTATTTTCATTTAATGAAAAAGTTTCTAAGGTTAAAAAAAAGTGTTTGTAAAATTAACTTATTAAAGTCCATGATTTCTTAAAATATCAAAAATAGTATATTTGTGCTTGTTGTCAGATTTTCGAATTGCACCCTTGTTGATCTTGCACATTACCTTAGCATTTTAACTCTGTTGTAGCATCATCCTAGCCCCATTGGCAATTATTTGAAAAAAGGCAATTTGATTTGAATAATAATAGGTCTGCTGTTCTAAACAAGAGGCCCAGGGGCCACATCGCTCACCTGAGCACTGTGGCCAGGAAAAAAGGAAAAATCAGTTTAGTATTGAAAAGCTTAAATGCATAAATGGTCCCAACCTACCCCTAAAAGGGAGTGGGGGGGGGGGTATGACTTGAACAAAATTTAATCTACACTGCTTACATAACTTTTTGACTAACTGTGACTTTTTTCTCTACAAGTTTGAACTTTCATTGTGGCCCCACCCTACCCCTGGAGGTCATGATTTGAACAAATTTGAATCTACACTATCTGAGGATGCTTCCATATAAATATTACAAACCGTGGTTTTGCTGTTCTTGAAATTTTTAAAGGTTTTTCTTATATATTCCTATATAAAACTTTGAACGTTCATTGTGGCCCCGCTCTACCCCCGGGGGTCATGATTTGAACAAACTTGAATCTACACCACCTGAGGATGCTTTCAAAAAAATATATCCAATCAAAGCTTTGCTGTTCTTGAGAAGAAGATTTTTGAAGATATTTCCTATGTACATCTATGTTAAACTTTGATCGTCCATTGTGGCCCCACCCTTACCCTGGGGGTCATGATTTGAACAAACTTGAATCTACACCACCTGAGGATGCTTCCAATATAAATATGACCAATCATAGCTTTGCTGTTCTTGAGAAGAAGATTTTTCCTATAAACTCCATGAAAACTTTGATTGTCCATTGTGGCCCCACCCTACCCCCAGGGGTCATAATTGGAACAAATTTGAATCTACACCACCTGCAGTTGCTTCCATATAAATTTGACCAATCATGGCTTTGCTGTTCTTGAGAAGAAGATTTTTGAAGATTTTTCCAAATTCTCCTATGTTAAACTTTAATTGTCGTCCATTGTGGCCCCACCCTACCCCCCGATGGTCATGATTTAAACAAACTTGAACCCACACCATCTGAGGATGCTTCCAAATAAATATTACCAATCATTGCTTTGCTATTCTTGAGAAGAAGATTTTTGAAGATTTTTTCTATATATTCCTATGTAAAACTTTGATCGTTCATTGAGGCCCCACCCTACCCCCGGGGGTCATGATTTGAACAAATTTGAATCTACACCACCCGAGGATGCTTCCATATAAATATGACCAATCATAGCTTTGCTGTTCTTGAGAAGAAGATTTTTCTTATATATTCCTATGTAAAACTTTGATCGTCCATTGAGGCCCCACCCTACCCCCGGGGGTCATGATTTGAACAAACTTGAATCTACGCCACCTGAGGATGCTTCCATATATGACCAATCATAGCTTTGCTGTTCTTGAGAAGAAGATTTTTGAAGATTTTTCCTATATATTCCTATGTAAAACTTTGATCGTCCATTGTGGCCCCGATCTACCCGCCGGGGTCATGATTTGAACAAACTTAAATCTACACCACCCGAGGATGCTTCCATATAAATATGACCAATCATAGCTTTGCTGTTCTTGAGAAGAAGATTTTTGAAGATTTTTCATATATATTCCTATGTAAAACTTTGATCGT